GATTCAGTACTTTTTGAAAAATCGTGCTTAATCAGCTTAAAGAATATAGTGTCGAGAAAAATACGTTCCAAGTTTCGAATGCAGATATAATCTGCTTGCGCACTGCAGTATATAAATACTTGCGTTAGCTTCGTTATGTTTTTTTATTTTGAAAAAAAATTTCTTAAGAGATTATTTTTTGATCGTAAATATTTAAAAGACATAAGAAAAATTGTTTTTCTTTCAGGTTTTAAAATAGAATATTTGCGTAATTGAAAAGTATATTCTTTGCAGACAACATGAGGATCTAAGAGACATCGTAAAGACGTCTGAAAGGCGTCCTACTTTTTTCAGACGCTTTCAAACGTCTCTCAGATACTCGCGTTTCTGTTGCATCACATTCGTCATCATTATATTCCACGTAAAACTAAAAGATCTTTCTTGTGAAATATGCAGCTGCAATCTGAATAAAAGTGTAAAGGGAAATCTTAATGGGATTGCCTCGTAATAAATTTATTTTCTTAACAATCGCGTATTAATCAATCACGACGTTCCGCAAAATCTGCAGCGAATATGTTCGCCGTCTCAAAGATGGAAACGCACGAGGAGCATTCTCGCTTCTTCGACTCCCGCTTTAATATTCTTAGAGCGCTCCGTTTACGTAAGATTTCGGTAACGGACAGAAAACGAGATAGTTCGACAAGAGAGATTAGAAAAAGTCGCACGAAGTCTCGCGCCGGCATCAACAGTGTACAGTAAGTTTTAACGAGAAACTCTCGGAAAGAAGGAGCGCCTTGGCGTCGCGTGTCGGCCTATTCATCGAGCCGTTCCACTTGTCTCACGTGTCGCCGTATTCAGGTCCGACGGCGGCGACGCTGTCGGAAGTAGAGTTACCGTGGCCGCGTTAAGTCCGCTTTAAGCAGCGATACTTGCGTCTTGACGGCGCAAGTTGATGCGAAAAAAAAAAAAAGCAACGGCGAAGATCAGAAAGAGGCCGCCCTGAGACGTGAATTACGCCCGCTTCTTCTTCGCGCGCTCATTTGCTTATGAATGCATTCTTGTTGCTCTATTTTTCGGACGCGGAACACGCGGAATGCTCATTATGCTTTATAACCGTAAACGCATACGCCTGGAAATGGGATATGGAGAAAAAGCAGTGCACGTATAATACTTCCCTGCTTACTTTGTGCCACGTTAACGTACGGGGCAAAATAAACCTCAGGCTGTAGAGATTATATATTATGTTACGAAAAAAAGAATACCAAAGGGACTGCGTGTCGTTTTTTGTCACGGCTGTGAGAGCTATTGTTATCTCTGTCTGATAGACGCGAGACGCGCGCTAAGAAAGCTTCGCAGAAAGCTTCTGAGTCTTGCTGCGCGAAGCAAATCCACGAATTATGGACGAATTCAGTGGATTATGAACGACGTTAAATTCAGACGATGTTAATGAGAGAGGAAAAAATTAATGTCATGGTAGAATTTTCAGTGATTTTCATGGTTTTTCAATTCATTTTCGACAATCTATAATTCATTGTGGAATTCGAGATGTAAATCCGTTTATAATTTTATGGATTGTGCAACACATAAAACATATTTGAAAAATCAGAATGCACGCGTATGCAAATGTATTATTAATGTGTACTTTGTACGCGTTTTGTATTCTGATTTTTCAAGTATTTTCTTCAATCGTCATAATGTTGCATACATAATTATATATTGTGCAATGTAGAAAACGTTTAAAAAATAACACATATCATGCGTTTTGTATTCTGATTTTCGAACGCTTTCTGCATTACGCTGTATATATAAAATTATAAATAGATTTTTTCTCGAATCCTGTCGCGAATTATAGATCGTCCAAAGTGTAGGTACTCTAGCCGGCGCCATTATCAAGTGGATAGATGTTTTCTGCGGACAGTGATGTGAATGTGCGGAAGATTAATGTCGGGTTGACAAGCTAAAGAAAAATCATTTTTAGAGTACGTTGCATTAGTACGCATCGAAAAAATATCATCCAATATCACCGCCACTCATAAAATGGTGGCTCTCGTACTTTTTATCGTGTATCAATCGCATAAAATAATAAAATATTCTATCTTATCTTACGCAATTAATAGATAATAATAGTAATGATTTAAGTCTAGGAAATTCCGGACATATTCTATAATACACTAACAATCTTAATTTTAACAACATTTACGAATTTGGTATCGATTTTTCTTGAGCGAAAGTATCTTGTTATCTTGTACGACTTAACTTAACTTTTGAGAAATTAAGCTTCGGAAGAACAATAGAATCATATTCTTCAAGTTAATTTCAAATAAACTTTCAATAGAGTTATCATTTTTCGAACTTAATTACAAAGATATATAATGTTGAAAATGGAAAAGTTGCGATAAATGATGACCATCCTCGATCTCTTCTCCAAAGAAAAATCAACCGCAAATTGATCAGACAATAACATGAAAAATAAAATCGCGAATTGCGGGATACCTCGTATATGTAGTGAAAAAAATTTAAAAAAAAAAGAAGAGTTCGATAAATTTCTATAAGAAAGTTGACCGTATCGCGAGGAGAACGTGTGTATTTCTTTCTGATCCCTGAAGTTCCCTTATGTGCGAAACGTGCGGCGCGAATCGATAGAAAATGCGGCAGCAAGAATGCCTTCATCAGAACGAAGAATTGCCGCACTCGGTGTAGCATGATAATAACATCTATCCGTTCTATGTCGCTTTTCGTATAATGGCCTACCAAAATTATTGTTGTTGGCCGCGGAATGTTCTGAGACAAATTCCGCGGAATGGGAATTTGGTATGCATGATCCCAAAATTTATTTCCATTCCCATTTAAGAGAATGAGGATCAAAGATATATGAACGCGACGGTGATTTGGCAGCTATTCGGGTAGCGTTAGATAATTCATTGAATTAGAAGAAGGTCGCAATAATTAATCGCGTCTCTCTCGGAGATTTGAGCAAAGATGTCTTCCCGCTAAACTCCATTTTCCGGAATTATACACGAAAATCGAATTAGTGAAAAAGGAATATATAAATATGTTGCTAATTGGGAGAGAAGAGAACGATTGTTCCAGCAAAATCAGTTGCAGAGATTTCAAATATTTGCGTCCTCGATAGATTTCGTTCTCGACATTTCCAAGACCGAAGAGGTATTGAATGCGGACTTTTCGGCAGAATTTTTCACTAAGAACTTATATTATTCAACTTTTCTCCGAACACTTCGCCTCTATCACTCATTTTCCACACGCGGGCGTGCGCTCTAAGCGCGCGGCGCTGAGCGTTCGGATATGGAAAAGTTTCCGACGTATGTATATTTCACGCGGGAAAATAAATTTGAGAAGGGGCGGGTTTAAAAGTTTATATCGGGCATCAGTGCCGAGATGGATACGATACCGTGCTGCGTGCCTCCCACGAAGATCCAAATCAAGCGCTAAATTTCATATCTCTGAGAAAATGCGCGCGGCGCGCCGGTATATATGCAGATAAGACAAAGCTCCATTCGCCCCGGTGGATTTACGAACAGAAGAACAATCCTGATCGCAAACAATCGGGCTTGAAGGGGCGGATAAAAAATTCAGCGCTGGAAAAACGCACCGACGATCCATCCCTCCGTTTTGATCAAAGCTGTCGTCGCATTTGGACTTTTCACGCGTTCTATCCAACTGCGAGCTGTGGATATTGCGACCGGTGTGACTGCGCGTCGGCGAATACTCGCGCGTGTACTACTTAATACGAGCGTTCGTCGCAAGTGTATCGCAAAAATTCATCGAATTTAGTCGATGAATTATATATGTATATCACACAATTCCCGCGTTTGCCATGCAAATTAGAGAGTAATAACCGTGTCCGCGACATGCATCTTAATTGACGGCGGACAAGATGATCCGCTTACATGCCTCGATCTCGGGCGATATAAATGACGATGCACTTGGCGGACGCTCGGAAGGAATGACGACTGCAGCGATACCGCAGTTCGCAGAGCCAATTAGAAGATGCAAATGCTTGGCGGGTGGAAAATAAAAAAAATATCTGCAGATACTCACGCGATGACGACGACTGTATTCCCTCGTTCTATTTCCAGCCCCCCCCGTTGCGCTTCTCCCATCCGCCGCTGCATACAAAGCTACTTTGTTGCTGCTAATTGGTTCGCGATCAACATACAAGCGCTTAATCCCAAAGCATACACTCGCGTACATGACGTAAGGATAGACGGCGACGGCGGACACGCTGTTTGTACGTTCGCGCGCACGTTAGTTTCACGTCGCCGTAATTCCCCGCGTGTGACGCAACCGATCGCGATAATTCGCGGACGGGAAATAAAGGACGGCAAAACTCGAAACGCGCGTCAAAAGCGAGAGCACGATTTTTCGAAGGGCGCTCAGAATCATCATTTTGCGATTTTCTTATTTCGACGAATGTATGCTTATTTCTTATTTTAAAAAACCATCTCTACGCGCTATTTTAAGCAACTCGTAAGTTTCAGCTCCTGTCGCCTTTTATTATCGCAATCTACAGCGCGTACATTTGAACGTTCTATAAAAATCGCGCAGCCCCGCGATATCTGCTTGCGATAGTAGGCGGCAACTGCCAATAGAGTGAAGATATCGGACGTAAACGAGGCATGCATGCCCCGTCGTGTGACCAGAATAAAACGGAATATACATGTATTTGTATCGGAAACTGTTAACCTTTGACCGTAAGCGGCCGTGAGAAATCTCGCATTGCCGTGTCCCTTACATTTTCCAAGCAATATCACGCGAGCGAATATGTACGTGTAATCACGCAACACGTTTTTTTTCCGCCCTGCTTTTGTTAAATTGTAGACCAGGCTGGCTTGGGTGATAATAATGAACAGCGGCGATCGTAAAAGGGGAAGAAGATCGTAAAGTGTTTGGCTAATAGAATCAAGAAGCATCCGTCGCACGAGAACGAACGTTAACTGACTCTCGCGGAATATTTATTACAGCGAAAATAGTGAAAGTGGAAAGGAAAGGGACGGACTCACCAATATGTACTGCCGCTGCCGCAAATTAATTTACGTTGCGGTGTCCGATGCGACGTCGAAAGACCTTATTAGCGCGATCGCCGTCCGAGCGAATGCGATGACCAGGACAAATAATGAGGCGGGATGTTTCCGCTCCGACACGGCCAATTCCCTTCAAGCATAATAGCAAATTTCTATTCAAACTAACATCTATAGCGCGGAAAAGGGAGAAATGAGAAATAGGGCTGTGCAAAAAGGAGGTTTATAATTCATGAGGTCAATAAGACAGCATATTTTCAGCTCGCTTCTTTTTCGTGGAAATTTATATGCAAATCAAATAACGTCGCGCAAATATAGCGACGACAAACAGAATGGAATAACGGGATTGTTCATTATGCGTTTTAATTCTCTCTCGCTGCGAATTGTTTTTGCAATTTGGTTTGAATTAATACAGTTAAAAAATTAAGACGCATATTTCTTATCGCGATTGCGATTCAATATTGAGTGAAATAATTTCGCCTTAGTATGATTGGATCGTCAATATTGGAACGATGGGATAGTAAATAATTGATCATTTAGCGTTCTATTCGTCCCGAAATCGACGATCCGATCGCATCTTCCGAACTCACCTCCGATTGCCCACTTTACTTAAATATGAACGTCTAAAACTCACCCTGTCTGTCTCACGGCGTAGCTCTCGATCCTCCTGCAATTGCCGGATTCTTCTCAACTTTTTCGATCGCCTGAGTAATCCCCGCTCAGACAACAAGGCGCGCGATATCGGTCCTTCTCACTTAATTCATCAGCTCCGACGATCGTCGAACATGGCCGTGCGAAAAACTCGGCTCGCCGGATTCCTCTCTCGCTCTCTTCCGAGTTTTACATCACACGGACACGATCTGTCCGACGTGAGCTTCGCTCACGAGTTCATTGACATCCGGCCACTGCCCGTCCGTCTTCTCTCGCAACACTATTTCCCACCGGATTCACTCAGCGTTCGATCCAAATTCTATTCGATCTAACGAAATTTCTCACGCCTCCTCCGTGAAAGCCGAGATCCGCGGGAAAATCACCTGTCGACTCCCTCTCGCCGGCCGCGATCCCGATCCGCTGGAAACGCTCTACATCCCATCGGCACCGCCTCGATCGCAGCCAAAGTTCACCAAAGTCATCGGTCCCTTCGGTATCTCGATTCTCGCACTCGCAGCACAATCGGCGGAGCGCGGATCGCCGTCTCTCGTCTCCGATCGTCGAGCTCGTCGATTTTCTCGCCGAGCCGTGGAAAAGTCGCGGATCTTCAGCGGCTCGATTTCCTCGCTGCCGCACGATTTTCACGTACGCGAGATCCAGCGTGATCGAAGCGACGTGGCGCGCGCTACGCAACGACGACGAGGATCCAGACGATCCAGGAAACGTGCGGCGGAAGTGCCGGCCGGTGCCGGGACGCCTCGTGGATGCGGCCGAACTTGTTGGTTCTCGCGGAGCGAATGTGTCGCGACTCGCGAGGGCGGGCGGAGGGTGCGCCCCTCTGGCAGAGGCCGCCGGGGGTGGACCAGGTCGGCGACCGTCGTCGTGTCCTGCTCGTTCGCCGCGTCCTGCGTGTGGCTTGTACCGGCGGCGCGCTCGCGACTGCGATCCTGGATTTCGGACGGAGGGCTCGCTCTCGAGAGTCAAGCACGCAGGCGCCGTGCACTCGCCGTCTCTCTCCGCTGCACGCGCCGCCGGCGCGCTTCGCCTCTCTCGTTACTCGCCGCCGCCGCCTGCCGGTGTGCCTCGCCTGCTCCTGCTTTGCGGGGGAGGGTGGTGGCTGATACGAGAGTAACCTACCTACCTAACCCCTGTCCGTCCACCTGCCTGCCTACCTGGCTGCCGTCGTTACCTCTGACCCTGCCTGCCCGCCGATACGCGTCTCGAAAAAGACGTGCGTGCTATTAATAATTGCCCCCGTGACGTCGGCGCGAAGCGCGCCTCGTAGTCGCTTCCTGACGTAGTCTTCGGTTAATGACGTTTAAATGCTCGCATTAACCGGCGGTGCGGCCACATAAATGCATCACGCTAATCGCGTCAATCCGCTCGGCAAGCTTTGAGCGGGCGCTGAGCGAAAGCGATTACGCGTAGCGAGCGACTGCGCAATATTATATGAATGACACACGAGTGTGAAATTTTTTAAACCCTCCGAAATACGCTCGTGCAATCTCTGCGTTTTATCCGAGGAAGAAAAATTTCGTCGTGTCGCGCGTCTCGTAACGAAAAATCCCTTATCGCTTACCTTCTTCTTTAATCTCGTGTTCTCATGGCATTTCGCATGCCGTCACCTCGCGCAAAAGAATAACTAAATTTATTGGCACTTTGTTTGTCTTATTTTTGCGAACGCCCACACGCCGGCGTTTTCTTTTCGATTTCTTCCTGTTTCGTGCCGATCAACCTGAATGCCGCCGGCCAAGCAAACATGTATTTATGACATTTTGCATGCCATTACGTTGCACGTAGAACAAAATCTTATTCCACAGTGTTATTATGTTATTCTTTATAAGCGCTGACATGCCGGCGTTTTCCTTTGCGCTATCCTTGTCGGCTGCTGTCCTTGCTTCGTGAGAGTGCATGAGCTTGCTAAGGGCGGTCTTATTTGTCCACTTGTCTAGTGCCTCGTGTATTTTTGTTGCGCTCCCTGCCTACACATTGACATTTATACGCCAGCGCGTGGAACATTATTTACGTTAAGTCGAAACTTTTTGTTCGTGTGCGCAGCGCAATTTTTCATCCGGCTAGCTTCAAACTCGATTCCAATAAAAAGGAACAAGTACGAAAATAGTGTTAAGAAAGTAGCGAATAATAATTATAACGAGCTCCCGATACGTGTACGTGTTAAGATTTCAAGAGCATTGTCGAGTTCCCTCGGGAATCCGTGCGAACTTTGCTTAAATCCCAAGACAGCACATGCACTGCGGCAGCAATTTGCAGTCATGTGTGTGATTATATCGAATACGAATTATGAATTAATTATTGAAATCTTCATAGAGCGATCACCGATCAATAATGCACGTCTAATACAATTTTCAACACTGCGTCGATAAAGCCGCATCGAATTAAAAGATCGTTAATCGCATCAACGGCGAAACGGGAAACTGCGCTAGATTGTCACATTTAATAATAATAACAATAATAAAGTCGCCTTTCGAAAGCCCGGCTGTAATGTTGCGGCAAAAATGTCAAGTATAATTTAGGTGAACAATTGGCGCGGCCGATATATCGCCGTATCTGACCTATCCAAATGTTTGCGCAGTCTTTGAAGCGCGCGGGTAAACATGCTAATGCACGTTAATATATCTTGACTACAGCTTCGAGCAATGAAGGGTGGTGCAACTTCACGGTGCACTCACGACTGGCTTGTACCATTCGCCTACTCGCCGCGTATATTGTTACGCAGCCATTTTCCACTCGCCGCGCGACATTTACGACCTTTATGTCGTAGCAGTCTCGGCACAACACGCGAACGAGCGTATGTTCTTGTTGCTTTTGATTCGATTGTGCGCGTAATCATTCGTCGCGTTCAGCGCGCTTTGATTATCGCGCGAGCAAAGGATTAATTTGAACCTTCAGCGTCGCTAATTATCTCGTCTGCGATTATTTGTCGCTCCAATTTTTCAAGTGATGCATGAACAAATATTATTTCTTTTATGCATTATCATGATACATGCCTTAATTATCTGATTATTATTTACACCAATGTTTTACAATATTGGATTATGTCTCTTTAACGAATGTGTTGTAACTCGTTTATCATTTCGATTGACTGTCTCGCTTATTGTTTTCTCTATTTACGTAGTGTTTACTTTATTACGCTACGTATGAATGTTATTATGCTTTCTGCTGTAAAGTTTAGTGCTCTCTGCGAAATTATGGGTGTAAAATAGGAGTAAACCAGCGGAAAGTGAAATTCAAATGAGGAAGAATAGTTTCTAATTTGTAAACTCAGAAATTAAAAGAACACGGCAACATTTTTGTAGGCTCACATAGACACAAATATTCAATTCGTCGATATCGCATTACACTCAAAAAAATATTTCACTGATGTAGCTAGATTTCTAGATATCGCAACAAGAATGTATCGCTATTTTTCGTATCTGTGAAAACATTGTTTGTCACATATAGAATTTATAGCAATAATGTTCTAGCAATAGCTTCTGAAAAATTTAGGTACCATTGCTAAATGTTATTCATTGCATGATCTAACACGTGATTGATCTTATATAGATAGGCGCTTTAGAGAAACTTTCTTTTTAAAGTTCACAAACAATACAGATATATATTCTGTTTCTGTCATCTAAACTGATTAAGTAATTACATATGCAATATCACAACAGTTGCTAATCATTTATCTGTTTTAGTTAATTTTTTACACCTAGAAAATTTTAGCTATTATTGCAAGATCATTTTTTTGAATGTACATAAATAGAAACTCTGTAATTGAGTTTTATTATTCGCATGATCATAAGACTATATATCTTGCAATAATTACAAAACTTAATGAATGACGATAGATAAAACTGATAAAAACGATAAATAAACTAAAACTCGCAATAAATCTACAGATATCTCATTTATTTCCCTCAAATATTCTTTCGAACGATTTATAAACGTTACATATCTGAGAAAATTTTCAAAAGATAGAAATACACACGTGTATAAAATACATCAGCGATGTCATATTCCAATTTTTCAAATGCTTCTTATTATGTAAAATTATAAATAGATTTCTTTTACAAATTTCATCACGAGAATATGTAAATCGTCGAAAGTGGATTTAAGTGAGCGAATCGGGGAGGGATGGGGCTTCCTTAAATTCTCTAAACCACAAGGCTTTATTTTCCCGCGGTACTTTAGCGGTTATATCTTCTTTCAAATTTCCGTAACTTTCTCCGACGCTAAATATTTCTTCCATTCGATTGATTCCGGCGAAATGCACGGAAGCACTTTTCGATGATACTTTTTTCTACCGCTGATGAAAGAATTTTTCCGCGCATTTCTATTTCCCTCCGCGCGCCTCCCGCTCGTCCGTTAAAAATGGCTCTACGGAGTATTGACTTGAATGGGGGAGCATTGCACGTACGTGCATCCGCGGGGCGGCATAAATATGCAAAATCTTCTACATTTACGACGCATAAAGTTTTATGCATTTTTCAACGCGCGCGTAATACTTAGCCGCAAACGGTATCCTCGCGGCGGGGCGCGCGCGCGCGCGCGCGCAAAACTCTACGTCAAGGCCTTAATACTGACCCACGCAACACTCGCGGTGCACGTGTCACGACTGCACAAGCAGGGATGCTGCGCCGCATTATGCACCTCTTTTTCATCCCGGTCTGCAGTCGCGAAAACCGTTGTAATAAACGTCAGAAACTGGGCGGAAACTGCGCGATCGTAATGCTGAAAGTTCAAAGCCGGCGTAAACAGGCCGCGCAATTAGACAGATGGCCGGATTAGCTCGGCAGCTTTGCGCATTCGTCCCTTTCACACGGCGGAATTACGATCCGCCGAGCGTGTGTCGGATCTCGCACAGCGCGAGATGACATATCCGAATATCACCGGGACAAGACCCGGGCATTTTCCGTCACGCAGCAAACCGCGAACATCGATTCGATTCGTCGAGCTTGTAGCGCTGGCTAAAATTTAAAATTACTGCGATCAAACGTACGTTCTCATTGCTATTGCAATTTTTACACGGGATTATTTATCTCGACATTTCTACGGTTTTGTCGTCGATATTTTATTCATGAATAAGTCAAATAATAGCGGCGAATGTTCTCTCGTCGATGTGTACGAATTAAAAAAAACTACGGGCGCGGAACGGCGATACATTGTCGGACTGAAATAGCCGAACCGATACTTTGGCAAAGGTTAAAAAACGATGTGAGCGCGCAAGGTGTGATTAAAATTCTATACCGAGCGCGCGGGTCGGTTATAGAAGCCGCGAAAATAAGAGAAAAAGAACGCTCACTGGGACATGTGCATTATTTCAGGCAATGTTCCGCGCGTCAAATTTACATATCGCATATCGTTGGATGTTGGGTGTTTTAAATGCACCTGTGTGAACACAATCCTCAATCTTTCAGGATTA